TGTGTGTGTGTGTGTGTGTGTGTGTGTGTGTGTGTGTGTGTGTGTGTGTGTGTGTGTGTGTGTGTGTGTGTGTGTGTGTGTGTGTGGCTTTATTGACCTTAAATGAAAACATAAATTTTGAGAGAAAACTCGATAAGCAAGCAAGCCGGAGCCCAGAAGTGCCCAAGAGCCTTTCAAAGTTGTCAGCCGACACAATAATTGCTTTGGCAATTATTATTAGCTCAACTTGGAGCTTGAGGCCAATTTATTATTGGCCTGATGTGATTTGCAAATCGGAGAGCCATGCACAATGCACAAACATTGACAGGTGCTTGCTTAGCGGCAAATGGCGTAATATTATCTTAATTTATGGTTAACAAGTTTATGCACGCTCTCTCTCTCTCTCTCTCTCTCTCTCTCTTTCTGTTTATTTCTGTTTCTGTTTATTTCTGTTTCTGTTCAGGCGCAACTAAGCTCGGTTTATTTGACTAACTCTTAAGATTTTAACCCATTGTTTGCCATTTAGCCAATGCAATCAAAGGCTGACAAATGTCCAAGCCATTAATTCGTTGTTTTCTGCTAATGAGCAACAAATGAAATGCTATGAATGCATATTTTTATCAATAACTCTAGTTAATTTAGCATTAGCATGTATGTATTGATAAAATATAACATTCTTCATTCACATTAATTATAATGGAAATAAAATTAAGCAGAAACAAAGTCTATTTCTATACATAATCAGGAAGTGAAGCGAGAATATTGGCTCGACTTGCTTCCGTCAGTTCGTCCATCGATAAATTTATTCTCTGATGAAGTGTAAAAAATCTTGGAATATTATGGATTTGAAAGGAAAAAGCCCTATTAAAAAATGAAAATAAATGTTATAATAATATTGTATTTTCTATAGTTTTTGAGGGTAACAAAATACCCTGTATTTTCTATAGAGTGAGCTTAATATTTATAGCTGTGTTACTCTAGACTAGAAATATTCTCTTAATGACTAGACCAGATTGATAACAAAAATCGATTCAGTGCAGTCTTTTTCTTCACTTTCTTATTCCAATATCAATAATTTTTGGAGCATGAGTAATACTCATTGAGTATTATGCAGTTGGCAATGTCCGACTGCATAATTCTTTGTTGATTTTAGCTGTATATATATTTAAGTTTGAAATTTATCACAAATATAAAATGGATTTAAATGCGCTTAAGCGATTTGTTATTCATTTTGTAAATATAAAATTACACGACTTATTATCAGCCATGGGAAATTATTATTATGCAATTTTCAATTTACCGTACGCAGCGTGTGATAAGGCCAGCTTGCCATGCCATCTATGTATAAGTGTGTGTGCATGTATTTAAACAACTTTAATACTAAACCGTATATGCAGTGCGATAAGTTTTTTGTTTCCCCTTTTTCAATTTACTCTAAATGCAGTTGATTAACAAATTGCAATTTGCATAAATTTTTTCAGCCAGTGCAGCGACTTTGCTGCGTGTCGTAATTATTTGCCAGGCATAAAAGCGCCCACATTATGCGTAATTAATTTTTTTTTTTTTTTGCTCGACATCTATGAAAATCTATGTATGTATATTTATATAAAATTAATTAACAATTTGCATAATGATAAATAAGCGCACGCTTTAAAAATTTTCTGTGCAGCACAAGTGGCAAAAGTGAAAAAGTGAAATGCAAAAATGGAAATGGAAATGGCAATGGAAATGAAAATGAAAATGAAAATCAACAGAAGAAATATGATTCATAGTCCCATTGTGGCAGACGACAACGAGAGCCGAGAGCTCTGATTTCCACTAGTGAAAGTCAACTGAGTCATTTGTCGTCATAACTTTTGTCATTAAATGGGCAGCCTGGCGGGCCTGATGCCGTCTGATAGAAGCCTCAGCTAGGCCGGCACCAGCACCCGCACCAGCACCATCTCCTGCTCCTGCTCCTGCCCCTGCTCCAGCTCCTGCTCATGCTGGCTGCTGTTGGGACGTGCTAGACAAACAAAGGCGTTGCATTCGAGACACCAGACCTATTTGAGCCGGCCTCTGTATACATTTTTCATAACATGCTAAATATGTATAGACGCATAAGCCAACACGCACACACACACAGACACTTGAGTCCATATGTACTTAGCAGCAGGCTGGCAAGTCACGTTTCTTAATATGTCTGTGTGTGTGGGCGGACGAGTGTGCTGCTATATGTCTGTGTGTATATTTGTCATTGTGTGCTAGGCTTCACACATTTTTAATTTATTTTCATGCCACTGTCTATGTATATACGTATTTGTTTAGCTTTGCTGCAGCTTTAGCCGCAGCCTCAAGCAGCGGGTTAAGAGCCCCTTTTGAACTTTTGAGTTATGGTCAAGCGGGCGCCTTAGCCACCTCAGTGACTGTGGTTAAATTTATGGCAGTCTGTTAGCTCTTTAAAAGCGATAGAAAAGATGCTCAAGTATCCTTTTGCTATTGGTCTAGCCGAGTGACTTATTGTTCGCTTTTCAATTGCTTGTTTTTGTTACTCCTGTATACAGATCTGCTAGCACTCTGTTAACACTCTGTTAAGTGCATACCCAAAGCTTGTCTGCCACTCGATTGATATCAAAGCAAGCTTTTCACTATTGACCACACCCCGAAGGAAATCAAAGTATATATATAAATCTTTATTCATTTGAATTGACTTGAATTTTCCAAAAAATGTCGAATTCAACTATTTTATCAAAGATTTCGTGGGTGCTCAGCCTCTTGGCGAACAATCTGACGGTCGCCCTGGGATTTGGACTCATTATCTTGCTCTGGCTGTTGGCCACATTCAAATATAATCGCAATATGCTGCGCCGCCAGCAACGTCAGCTGAAGCCGACGCTGGCCGAGGCAACCAGAGGGGGGTCCAGCAGCGCGGAGGAAACCAGAGCAGAGCCACCAACAGCTGCGAATGCGCCAGAGCCAACCCCACCTCAGGCAGCTGAAGCATTTCCACAACATAATCCCATTCAAAACGTTGAGCGTCAGAAGCGCAAGCGTTCGCAGTCAGCGGCATCAGCTGCCGTAGTCGAAGAGCCAGCATCCACGCCGCGCTTATCCAAAAATTTCAAATCCCTCAAGTCCGACAAGAGCAACGAGCGAAAGCGTCGCATACAGCACACTAAGTAGACCGGACCTGAACGAAGGAGCTGAGAACTGAATGCTGGCAACAAAATAAGACTCGGATGTAGCTAAGACCCATGGCTAATTTCTGAAATTTCATTATTAAGAACTATCCAATCAATAATCACAGATTGATGATCGATTAAAGCAAGTTGCATTTTTTCCATATATCTGAGTTGTGATTCAGGTTTATTTAATCGAAGTTTACTTTTAATTATCAGAGCTAATAGCAACTGTTCAATCTTGCTTTGCCCTTTATCATAATCTGAGTTCATGGACTAAATACTACCTACAACATTTCTAAACAACACTAAGCAATGTGAATGGCCCAGAGCGCTGACCCTGTTTGCCTGCCTCAGTAGCTGCATTTGCTGACGCATCTTATGCTCAACGCTTCGCTTTGTTTGCATTTGCGTTAACACTTACTTCATTTAACAGCAACAGTAACTGCTGCAGCTGCTGCAACGTCAAATGCAACTGCAACTGCAACTGCCGAGCTGCCGCCGGCAGCAGGTTAAGGACCTTCTTTTGAACTTTAAAATGTTTGCTTGCTGGCCATGTGGGTGACAGCAGCAGCAGCAGCAGCCCAGTCATATTTGTAGCTGTAGCTGTATGTGTATACCCTATAAATAAATAATTGCTAATTAGGGTATGTAGGACACAACATAATTAATTATTAAAAAAAAAAAATAAATAAATAAATGAA